AATGCTGTGCGAATTATTGCTAAATGCTGCTGGTTACTGCTATTGCTCAAATTCTATTTCCAGTAATAATTTTAATAGAAATTTACTTTTTATTTATACTGTTACGTTGTACATGTTTTCAACTGATTTTTTAAAAAGATTCTTATCTTTATTTTGTTGATCTTATACATCACCAGAAGTTGTGAATATACCAATTCAAGAAATAATGAAATAATAGAAAGAAAGACTTTTCATTTATATTCTAGGTATTAAAGGGAATATGAGTTTCAGAACATAACTAATAAAAACTATTGATAGAAGAAAAAGGCATCTTTGATTTTTTTTGCCTCCTACTTTCATACAATTCTGCTCTCCAAAACCAACAGACTGTGTGCAGAGTAAACAAATAAGCCTTAAAAGCCCATTTTCTACAAATTTGAATTGGCCTCAGTTGATTGATTCAATAACTGTCTACTGCTTTTAAAGATTGTATTAAACATTGTAGCCAATGTATGAAATCTAAAGAACTGGTATCAGCTTCCTTAATACTTGAATATTCATGACACAGGCATTCATATTACAGGTAGTCCTCGACATATGACCACAGTTGAGCCCAACATTTCTGCCGCTAAGACAATTGTTAAGGGAATTGTGCCCCATTTTTATGACCTTTCTTGCCACAGTTGTTAAGTGAATCACTGAAGTTAGTAACATGGTTGTAAAGTGAATCTGGCTTCCCCCATTGATTTTGTTTGTCAGAAAGTCACAAAAGGTAAATCACATGACCCCAGGATCCTGCAACCATCATAAATATGAGTTAGTTGACAAATGTGTGACACTTGATCATGTAACCCATGCCTGTCAAATTGGCGGCCCTGCGCAAGCCACGCCCACCCCGGCTCCGCAAAGGCAAGAAACATTGCGATATACTGCCTGCGATGCGAGCGGGTTTGATACCCCTGATAGGGATGCTGCAACGGCCATAAGTATAAAAAAAAAGTCATAAGTAACTTTTTTCAGTGCCATTGTAACTTCAAATGGTCACTAAAAGAACAGTTTTAAGTCAAGGGCTACCTGTATTTAAGAACTGTCTCATTTTTACAGTGTGATACATCAACTAGATTGGGGGTATCTAATTGTATTCAAGTAATACAAGTCAGGGCCCTTTTGCGTTTGTGAAATTTTGTAGCTCTTTAATCCTAGGCCTGACTGTTTTAGTTGTTGAAATAAGGGACATGAAGCTGTTTGAGACCTAAGTTTGTTCATTGTTTTCCGCCAGGTTGATCCAAGAGCCATATCAGTCCTAGCAAAATGGCAGAATTCTTATAGTATCAAAGTTGTTCTGCAAGAGCTCCGGCGTCTAATGATGTCTAAAGAAAATATGAAACTTCCTCAACCACCTGAAGGACAATGTTACAGTAATTAATGAAAAACAAAAAGAAAAATCATGCCCCATCATTCAATTTAAGCTCTCTTCATTTTCCACAGTAGTAAATTTTCTAGATGCATCTTGTAGATCTCCAAGTACTGGAAAGGAAGTTCCCATTGCAAAGGAAAGTTTATCTTGAGATACTGTAAATGATACTAATTTTTTTTTCCATTTGAAAATAAGTTGTGCTATAACAAATAATGCTGTCCTGTGTAACCACTGTCCACATAGTTGAACTTCTGGTATCAAGAAAAGTCTATTTAAATTTATTACTGTCAAAGACCAGTGTGTCACATTGAACTCGACTGTGAAAAAGCATAAAAAGCATACATCACACAATCACATTGCTGTGTGTTTGGCCTGGGTTTATATCTTTTCTCCCGTCTCTCTCTCTCTCACACACACACACTTTCTCTGTCTCTCTCTTTTTCTCCCTCTCCCTCTCCCTTTCCCTCTCCCACTCCCTCTCTCTCTCTCCCTTTCTTTTTGTGTGTTTGCAATAGAGTTGATGCTCAGGGCTATTTATTAGAGTAGACATGGAGAGCACAATCCGCAGATCGTGATCTTGCCCAAGCCCTTTTGAAAAGAGCAGAGTCTGAGCCAGAATATCCTTGATTCTTGCGCAGTTCTCTTTTGATCCAACGGGGCTTGCCCAAGACAATGTTCCCAAAAGATTGTGCCATAAGGTTTCAATTACCAGCTGTGTCTGGGTTGTATGGACTACTAATGGGATGTTTTTGGTATCTTCGGTCATCCCTCCCTTTGTGCAAGCTCTAGTAAAACGCTGAATGTCTCTAGGGTTGGTTTTTATTTTTCTGCTTTTAATGAATGCTTACACAGCCATTTGGGGCAGGTTCTTCTTTCTCCCAAAACCTTTGCTAAGGCATAGATTGTATATCTCCCCCCCCCCCGGAATGAGGGCCTTGGGATGACAGATCTGGGGGATCTTTTCAGACTTTCCTCTCTGTCTTTCCTGTCATGGTTGGGGTGCTGCTTTCTTTTTGCCCCTTCCATGACGCTTTACATTTGGCCAAAAGAGGTAAGTGGCTGGCAAACTGCCTGATTTTATTGTTATTATTGTTATTATTATTGTTATTATTATTATTATTGCTTCATGCTTGTCAATTTTGGGGTGGGGCATGGGTAGGGTCTATAAATTAATCTTCACCAGCTGAGAAAACAAGAATGTCTGGTTTTGCTCACAAACAGCCTTCCCTTCCTATCCTGTGGCAGCTTCCATACCAGAAAGCTAGCCATGGCTGACATATTAGACAGGGTTTTGATACAATGAAAGAGCAGTAATTTACCAGGAGCGTCTTAAGTCTGTTAAGAATGGCTAAATATTCCGGAAAGATCTCTACACGGATGTTTGAAACAAACACTCCAGCTTTCTGAGCTGAAGGTCACTACCTCTGCTTGAATGCCATGTTAACTGCTCATCGGCATGCGTAACTTTGAGGCTCCGTAGCAGCCTGCCGGCATAAAGACAAATCCACTTTGTGAAGAGGAGATTGTGTTCTGCAGAGAGGGAGATGCTTTTCTTTCCTAAAGAATCAGATGGCGCTGCCATGCATGGTGGGTGAGGCTTCTTGGCAAATCACTTCTTTTTCAGACTCCTTGTTTTGGACCACTGACTGCTGAAACGTGGATGCAAAGCTTAAATGCAAACAATCCAATGTATCCTCTTAACGAAACTTAAAAACGCAGTGTTCATGTAAAAACAAAAAGCAAAAGTCACCGTTTAAAAGCAGAAGTATCAAGTCAATGAATAATTGATGTTTCCATTAACTCTTTTAAGGAGCATATTAGTTGTAAGGATTTAACATCCTCTGTAATTAAAAAAAAATTAACAGTATTCCATGAGCAGCCTTTTTATTGTATCAGACCATTGCCTGATTTTAATATAATAAAAAGTGTGCATTAATATTACTGTGCTGTAATTGTATTTATGTTTAGAGTGGAGATCTTCTCAGAGTTGGGGCAAAGGGAAGACACACAGTGTGACTGTCCCATTGAAATGATTACCCTGATCTTTAGAGGACACCAACAATGCTTAGGCAACTATCGTGGATGTTACTGGAACTCGCCCGATTCATTTTGATTTATTGTTGCTGCTATTAAATGTAATATTGCTATAGTGTTCAGAAAATACTTTGATACTGTGATCTGTTATTTAGGTGTAATTTGGGATTGTTCTGTAAAATTGTTGGAATTAGGATTATCATAGACAAATGTGAAGTGGCTGCAGTTTGGTTTGACACGGGGATTGTACAACTACAAATGTAAAGTTATCTCAGGAGACTTTATAACAGGGGTCCCCAACCCCCAGGCTGCGGCCCTCTACCGAGCCTTGAGCTGTTCAGAACCAGGCAACAGAAGTGATGGGCGCATGGACGCATCCCCGCTTGTGGAAGCAACAAGCAAGCATGTATGTGCGTGCTCCATTTGCATGAGCAGCGGATATGGGAGCCCACTGCTTGTGCAGAACTATACTCTCCCCCCCCCCAAAGCCAGAAAGATTGGGGAACAACATTCATTTGGGCACAATTACATTCAGTAATTGGATGAGGCTTCTGTACAAAATATTTCAGAATCCTCTCTCTGCTGCTGGTTCTGCGAGAATAGGTTCCAAAGTGGTGTCTAGCACTTTATAGAAGAGATGGGCAAAGGGGGTCACCTGAAATATTGAAGCAGTCCTTAAAAATCTTTACATGGCTCTAACACAATTCTGTATGGCACATTTTCCAGCTCATCACAAGTGTGATAAAAAACGTTCCAAGAAAGTTGTAATCACATGGTTGAATCGAATCAAAACAACTTCACTCCAGTACAGGTAGTCCTCCACTTGCAACAGTTCATTTAGTGAAAGTTACTACGGCATTGAAAAAAGTGACTTATGACCATTTTTCACACAACCTTTGCAGCATCCCCATGGTCACGTGATTCAGAGGTGGGTTTCAGCAGGTTCTGACCAGTTCTGGAGAACCGGTAGCGGAAATTTTGAGTAGTTCAGAGAACCTGTAGTAAAAATTCTGACTGGCCCCGCCCCCATCTATTCTCTGCCTCCCGAGTCCCAGCTGATCGGGAGGAAATGGGGAATTTGCAGTAACTTCCCTTGGATTGGGAAGGGAATGGAGATTCACTTAACAACTTTATTATTAATTTAACATTTGCAATTATTCACTTCACAAATGTGGCAAGAAAAGACGTAAAACGGGGCAAAACTCACTTAAAAAATTTCTCACTTGGCAACAAATTCTGGCCTTGATTGTGGTCGTAAATCGAGGATTACCTGAAATTAAATCTACCAGCAGGGCCGGATTTTCCTATAGGCTAACTAGGCTTCAGCCTAGGGCCTCAAGATCAAGAGGGGCCTACATTCAAATTGTTAGCAAAATTAAAATTACACTTTCACTATAGGTGAAAGGGCCTCATAAGTGGAATAGCCTAGGGCCTCTTTTCATCTAAATCCGGCCCTGTCTGCCAGTGATTAATGTCACGTATACCTTCCTATAGGTATTTTATTCCAAATATGAAGTCTTGGGATAGGCCTCTGCCAATAAATCCATGTAGGGATTTATTTAGTTGTCATGTACAACATTTAATTAGTTGTCAGTTTTAACACATTAAACAACAGAAGTTGTAAATGTCCTAGATATCTACAAGTACACGCACACACATATATACCAGTGTCCTAAATAATGGAGAGCAATTGTCACAGAAATGTTTTAAAATATACTTTTGTTTTGAGGGTTACTAGGTTGCACATGATACTGCAATTTGCATTGTATGCTGTTCAGAAGGAGCCATGGGGAGATCTGTGAAGACCTGGAAATCCTATTTCAAGAGTTGGGGCCATCTGCAGTGTAAGGTATGTGTGCGCATCAAAAAAAGTCAAGGGGATAATTGCAGTTGAAGTTCTGACTCTACAGGTAGTCCTCACTTATGGTAATTGGGACCAGCAACTCGGTTGCTAAGTAAAGTCATAAAGTACAATGTGACATCACACTGGCTTAGGACAACTGTTTCAGTAGTCCTAGCTGTTGTTGGGCAAATCCCACACAATGGTAGTGTCCTGTGGTCATTTATGACCTCCCCATTGGCTTTGCTGGTTGAAAATCAGCAGTGAAGATTGCAAATGGCAACCACATAACACAACACTGCAGAACACTTGTCTGCAGAATACTATCACCGTCATAATTGCAAGCTGGTTGTAAAGCATCCAAATTGTGACCGTGGGGATGCTACAACAGCTGGAACTACAAGGAATGGTAAGCCCTCTTGTTCAGCACTGTCATAACCTCAAACAGTTGCTGACCAAGTGGTCACTGAATGAGGATTACCTGTATCAGTTGTGCTGCTATCTTGACTTCCCCTCTTGGGAAGTCTTGTCCCTCCTTGGATACAAGAGATGAACAAAAATGTGTCCTGTATGTTTTCAAACATCTTTGCCTGTTCACAGGACTTTTTTTTTTTTTTAAACTAACTAACCCATAACCCAACTAACATAAAACTAACAAATGTAGCCTCTTCCCAAACGGAGATTATGCAAATTCCTTTGATATGCCTACCAACCCAACCCAAATATGTTACTGTATTGGCAGCGGTATAATAGCCTTAGTAATGTACTGGATGAGCTTAAATGGACTCTAGAAGATGGTAGAGGACAGGAAGGCCCGGAGGAACATTGTCCATGGGGTCGCGATGGGTCGGACATGACTTCGCAACTAACAACAACAATGTACTGGAATATGCCAAAAATATTTTTATCATTGGCATGCAACAAGAAATTTGATTGCAGTTATTTCCCATTTATTGTAGCAGTCACAACTAGGAAATACATTGTTTGACAAAGGTTCCTGATCTTGGTTTCAACTACAGTGGTAGCATTTCATAGTGTAAGACTAAAGACTGGATGTCTATGGAGATTATCAATCATCCAGTCACTGTTGTCCCAAAAGTGATTTTTTTTTTCCAAAAGGCAAATGGACTTTGGTGGTTGTTTATTCATTTCTCATCCTAGAAATTTCTTCAGTTCTATGAATTTGTGGGGAATGGAAAGATTGGGTGAAACGACTAAAGAAACCTGCAATTTCTGTAACATACCAGTAGGGGGTGCTAGCAAACTTTCCAGCAAAAAACAAAACAAAACACCAGCTGTTGCTGTACATTGTCATTTTTCTCTGTTGTAATAAGCAATTCAGCAAATTCAGTGGGACTTTTAAGCAGAAGGATTTGAATCCCCACCCAACAATTTTCTTTCAACTTCTGGTATTGTTTTTCCCACTCCTTCCAGATGACCTGCAAGGCCTTTATCTCATGCAAAGAATTGCTGCTTTGGGCAATGCTAGTCAAAATAGCCACAGTTGCGCTTACTAGCTCTGTACAAAGCACTTTGGATTCACCTTGACAAAGAGCTTTGCGCCACAATCGTCTTTTTTTAAGCCCTACAATTTGCCTCAACCAGCACTTTATGTTGCTTTGCTTGGCTCCATCAGTGTTGGCAAAGTTGGTAGGGCAGTAAAGATTTTTCTGACTCCCTGATTTGAAATCCTCTCTCAGCTCTTGCAAGTGCTGGTCAAGGCAGATGAAATGAAGCAAGAAAGCAGCACTGGTTGCCTTTTACAAGTAAGAGATTTGTGTTGTTTTGCAAAGCGGCTTTGGGAGCATGCTTGACTCTAGTTTTCACTTTATTAGCTGTACAACCTTCTTGTCCCCATCACTGCCTAGTTGTGGTTAGTTTTTGCCTGAAATGGTTCATCTGGGGTTTGGATATCTTTTTGTATCCACGTTTTTGAAATGGAAAACCTCTAGAAATGTTGGAGTGTAACTCCTGTTGTGTCCAGCTAATATTTTTTGACTTCAAAATGTTTGAAAATTAAAATTCAGAACTAAAAATCAAGGACAAGATGTTTTTGGAGATCACCTTTTTTTTTATAGCTGATCTATATAAAGTCTGATCATCTTGCAGAGCAGCCCTTTCCCAGCAATGCCCATTCATACATTCCTGATCCAAAGAAAGAATTGAATCTCGATAGCAGTTGTGGTGCTTTTTCATAACAATGTTGCTTTGGTATTCATGGTTACCATGATGATTACTTTGGGATTTTCTAAATACTACTGACAATTTCTTTATTCTAGTGGATGCACTAATGCAAGGGTCCCCAACCCCCTCTCTGTGGACTGGCACCGGGCCATGGCATGCCAGAAACGGGGCCATGCAAACAAACGAAGCCCCATCCACAGGATACAGGCAGCACATGAAACCTCGCCCCCTCCGATCCATGGAAAAACCTTTCTCTACAGAATCGGTCCCTGGTGTCCTAAAAGTTGGGGGCCGTTGCACTAATGTACAAATACAAGAAATATCACAACAAATTTGGCCCCACACAACATTGAGTTCAATTGACGGCCTATGATAAATGGTGAAAAAAACATATTCCTGCCACTTCAGTCAGCAAAGAACTTGATCAAGTCTCAAGAACACTTTTACAAGCCAGTTGTAAGTTGAAGGAGCAAAAAGTTGCTGACATGTTTGTGAAATGAAATTGCGATTATCTGCTAGAGATCGCTGGGCCTAGAATTTCCTCTGGAAATACTAAAGTAGATACATCTGTCTCTGGCAGCCACACCTGACACTGAATAATGTGCCATGGTGTCTGCACTGAATTCTCAGAGAGATCCGGGTGTTGGCATATCTCCGGCAGTGAATTTCTCACCTTCTAAAGACTATCTCTGGAAAAGCAAGCTCCTAAACCCAGCAACATTTCTGAGCAGGAGGTATTACCTCTGCGAAGAAGAAAAAGCAGATCTTCTCCGGCTCCTTTGAAAATTTGTGAATTCAGCAGTCTTGGTCAATGATGCTGCCTAAGTAATGCATCTGAACACTGTACATTACATCATTGCTTTTATTTCTTATTTTTCTTTAATCTACATAATCTCTGAATTGGAAGGTTGGCACAGTTATGCCATTCATTCATGCCAAGACGTGAAGCTATGGGAGGTGAGGGTACTGATGAGGTTGGAGATTTTACACTTGAATCTAACTCAACAGATTTCTACGTGTGTATGCAATTTTTTCCCGCCCTGAGCTTACATGTTTTGTTCTTTAAAATATAGACACAACATTTTAAAAAAAAAAAAAAAAGTCCTTGACACTGCTTTTTCCAACAAAACACAAAGCCTTCCTTCGGCTGTGAAATTTGAATCTGAGTTTCAAACCAGCAATATCCGGTGAATGGATTTCAGTGGTTATGATAAGAATAGAGAAGGTGAGCACCACTCGCCATCCTGTCACACTTAGAACTCCTAACAGAAATGCAGGAATTGTAACTCATTTATAAACTATACTCCTCTACAAAACTTGAAGATTTCATCTTTTGGTTGAATTGTCACAAAAACATAAAGTACACTTGATTTTGAATAGTACACATTATTTTATTCAGTCAATAAGAAAAAGATTCTTAGCCAATTGGTCTTATGCATTAAAACGGATTATAACAATAATTGTAATCTACTTATAATAGTTGTGAGACAATAATGTATTATTAAAGATACTGGTTATAAGACAACTAGTATCACTGAACTTGGCACTGGGAGGGGGAATGTTTTCCAGTAAATGCTACATTCTCAATTTGGTGTCTTGATTATATCAAGTTAGAACAAAAATATCTGCTACCGGGGGCAAAACTAACATGATACGTGCAGTATGAACTGGATCCCCAAGAGGTGCTACTCCCAAATTAAAAATAAATTATCGACATTTCATGAGACTTTGTGGAAAATAAATCTCTTACAAGAGTTTGTCTTAGTATTTTGAAATGTGATCCTTCCAAAATCTTGCTTGAGGTTTCAGCAGACATCAATAGTCAAGATAGTTTTGGCCATCTATTATTTTATAGTGAGTTGTAGTCCATGTAGATGCCATGTTGCTAACTCCTAAATTAGCAATATGGCAGAGAATGGAGAGACTCAGAACATGTTGTAGGATGTGGTAACATCAGTAGGCTGAGCAATAAATTAAGCACAAGGCTGGGTTCACATTAACATGCTAGGCTAAAACATGGTGAACTAATTTGTGGTGCAGTGTTGGTATATAAATTTAATAATAAATAAAATAGTGGCCTACTTGCCACTTGAGCCACCTGAGAATTGCTTAACAACTAATGATCCACACTTAACAATAGCAATGGGGAGTGCTGGGTTTGCCTTCACCAAGCAATTATGTATTCATGTGGGATTGTGTTTTACAATTGTGTTACTTAGCAAAGGAAATTCTGGTTCCAATTACTGTCGTTAACCCCAGACTCTCTGTGGATAGTTTTCTCAGGATTCTATATATCAGGGGTGGCCAACCTTGGCAACTTTAAGATTTGTGGACTTCAACTCCCAGAACTGAATGGGAGAATTCAATGCTGGCTGGGGAATTCTGGGAGTTGAAATCCACCAGCCTTAAAATTGCCAAGGTTGGATACCCCTGATATATATGATTCTTCCTCTTATCCTTTATAGCTTCCCACAATTCTGTGATGTAGATAAGATTGAAAGATGGTAATTAAAGAACAGTAATCTTTGAAATCCAATAGATTTCAAAGCTGAGGGGAAACTGCTGACTCCTGTTCCTTTATTCTTTCTACATCATGTGTACATATGTGTGTGTGTATGGGTGTGGGTGTGTGCATGGGTGTTCCATCCTTACTCCAAAGGCAGCAAACGAAACATTTGACAACTGCAATTGGTTTTTCCTAACAGAGATTTCTCTCCTTATTCCCCTCAAATTAAAAAAAAAAATCCCCTCATATTTTCACTCCCTCTCCAGAAATCTCCAATCCTGGGCTACCAGATTAGATGTTGTCTAGGGTTAATGACCAG